TAAATTAGAAATATAAAAATAATAAATTTAATATGAACAAGTAATTTATTTTTAGAAATATAAATATGAAAAAAATATTGAATTTAAATGAGAAATATAAAATTAATAAATTTAATATGAACAAGTAATTTAATATTAAAATATAAAAATAATAAATTTTCTTTAAATTTTAAACGTTGTATTAAATATGGCTTTTAATATATATATAATCTATTTAATTATAAAAACTTTATATTTGTTTAATTGATTTAAGTGCTCTCATGTTTTATAAATGGTTTAGGTTCGAATCCTCATTTAAATGATTTTATTTTTTATTTTTATCATTAACAATACTATAAAATAAATATAATTTATTACAATACTTAATCAACCAAGTGACCTAGTTTTAAACCCTCAAATGCAAGTTATCTCTAATTTTTTTCTATTTAAACAGGAGGTAACATTTGTCACTATTTAATTAAAAAAATAAATTTAATTAAACAAATTAAAATTTATAAAAGAAACCTCCAATCAGGAGTTGATCATATGTTAATACGTGCTACCTCTTGATTAAATGATTAATTTATTAAAAAATATTAAAAGTAGGATCGAATTAATTGTATGTACAATTACTGAAAATCAAATATGTATTTATATCAATTCTGTTAACTGTCACATAAGAACTCCGTTAAATGTTAACGACATGTGAGTTATATTAGAACCAATTAAATAGATAAATAATTATATATTAAAAATAATAATTATATTAACACCAACCTTATAATTAAGTGGTCATTCATATAATTTACTACTATATAATATACATATACTCGTCATCACCTTCTGCAGCCACTATCAGCCAATTACTCAGCGCTAAAGATAAAATAAAGTCCAAAACATGAGGGCCCCAATAAATCCGCAGCAGACTTAGTAGAAGAGGAGATAACATCTGACAGACGCAATCAGAATTCAAATGCCAAAAAAATAAAATAACATAAACAGTCAAATTAGTTGTAATGAAATGACAAACCCCGTGAGGATTTCGACACCTACATTCAAATAATTTTAGCCTCCTTTTGTTGTTGTAATTAATTGACTTATTGAGATTTAAATTAAAGCACTTGCTTTAATTTTTGATGTTTTACTTTTTGTTGAGGGTTATGAATAATATAATACATTTGTATCAACATTAAATTAATCATAATTTTAGTGTCAATTGATTACGCTTTTGAACAACTTCTATGACTCCCTGCCAATTACGGTTAATACCCTTATTTCAATAAAAAAATCATAATTATTTTTTTAATATCTAGGGTAAGTATGTAATAATATTTATTTAAAGATAACTCTTAACCTTTCGACATTGATCGTTCACATTCCTAGCATCTATGGTACTCGAACCTTGATCCTCAAAGAATAATAACAGTTCATTTACCACAGATGACACTTTGATTTGTGCAATTATCTTTTTAACTCTAAATAAGAAACCAATAACATATAATATATCAAACTTTAAATATTGAATTCTAAAACTTATTCAAATTTAAACTATGAGTTCCGAGTCTTAAAATCCTAAAGCTCTAATCCCAATTATAAAAACCATAAACTATAAAGTATAAGTGAATTCTAATCTTGCACGAATCAATTCATTTTATTGGTTAAAGGAATCGTTGTTGTTCCTAGAGGTCACGAGTTCGAGCACCAACGACTGCACTAGGGTGATTGAGCGTTCATTGTCAAATAGTTGAGAGTATTTAGAACATATACTCCTTTGTAATCACCTTAACTTAATAAAAAAAAAGTAAATTCTAATCCTAACTCTAAATACTAAACATTAAATCTTACTTTATAATTTTTTTAGGTACAAATCTTACATCATAATTATTATTGATTGTTTTATTTAATTACTTAAGTCAACAATAAAAAAGGCCATTTAAAAAAAATCTTACTTTATAACAATATTTTAATGAGAATGTTGAATAATTATTGTAATAGTTAAATAATAATATTATTAAATTTTATGATAATATTATTATGTATTGCATTTAATATTTACAATATTTTAAAAAAAATAATTTTTTTAAAAAAAAGTATCCAAATATAAATTATAATATCTTAAAATTTATTTTTCTAAATCTTTTTATTATAATATATCGTACATTTAAGAATGAATTAAAAGGGAAACGGAACCAATTATTCTTTAAAAATTTAAAATATCATATTTTAAATTTTTTTATAATTTTTATTAATAATTTATTTTAACCCTTAAAATTTTATAATTACTTTCTCGTTTAAAATTTGAAAAATCCATCCTTGTAATATATACTAGTTACATTGTATAGCGTCATCATCTTTGACCAACAAAAGAATAATCTTCTGTTGACTTCATTTTCTTTAATTCAAAGCCGCTTATTAGTCCAATTACATTGCATTTCTTTTTTCTGTTTCGAAATAAAGCACATGCAAGTTTTGCTCTTTCAAATTATAAAATATTTTTTAATTAAAATATAGATGGACCAGGAGCTTTTCTTCCTAGGGGAATGCAAATAGAATATGTGAATCAAGAATTTAAATACACTGTAAGGAGCATTATATAAGGACTAAGATACACTCAAGTTAACCAAGACAAAGCAAGAAAAAAATTACGAAGTCAAAGTTGAATTAAAAATTTCGAGGGGTCCGGATATAATTTTATTGATTTAAGATTTTATAATGTTTTTGGAATTAAATTATAAAGTTATTATTATTTTAGATATTAAAAATATACTTTTAAAAGGATTAAATACATAATTTACTATTTTTGGAGGCCAAGGGCCCTGTCTGACTGGCGTCCCTGAAAATTAATGACGATAGTTATAACCGTTATTTAAAAGTATAATGATAAAATTAATCTCCAATATTTTTCTTGATTAATAATAATTTGTGTTGCACTAAAACTGAAAACCAACAAATATACAACAATAACCTCAAAAATAAAAAAATCCTCCTCCAATCATTCCCCCATCCTATTTACTGTTATGCTTGCCAACCTAAGCTTAACTACCTCTTTAATCCGGACCACAAATCCATGGTACAATGTTCACTATGGCTCCCTCCATATTAGCCGGATGAAATCATACCAGGCCAACTTCAACACGAGAGACATCAAGGGCTTACCTCTCAACATGCAAGCCCAAACAAGTTCCAGCTCCCAACACACACTCGCGGATGCATGTACATCTTAGACTGGACACTGGAATCTGAATTTCTTTATACCAGTTAAAATATCATAGAGATCAAATGAGAAATTAATTCATTTTATTAACGTATCCCGTCATTAATATTATAAAAGTTAATGTTTTAATGATCAAATTGTCGTTAATCAATAATATAAATGATCAAATCATAACAATTGAAAGCTGAGCGGACAAAATCATAAGAAAATGTAACAGAAGTGACCCCTACAATAATTATAAAAAACATTATTCAAACTTCAAATTTTCACCCTCCCCATCACAAAATTTCGCCCCAAAATAGAAACTCTTGTTTGAAGTCTAGCATTTGAGTTGATCCAGCAAGTCACAGGCTTAGCTCTTTCATTTCAATTGCTATATAGTGAATATTAATATAAAAACAATAATTCAAAATAGTTGAAGTTGAGATGGGCAATATACATAACCTAGAGTCAATAATAGCGATACACTTGCAGATGTTGGATCTTCAAATTAAAAGTTGAAACGTCTCAATCTCTCCTTTGCTGCTTCATTCCTTGCACTGCGCACGTCCCTTTCTCCTAACCTCAAAGAAAACAACATAAAAATAAGGCTTAATTGGAAAATAAGTGTTATTTTTTTCCGATTCATCTAGATGTCTAACGTTACAAACGTTATCACTTTACGTGTTCATGCCTTAACCACCGTTAAATTTTGTCATTAAATGAAGCATGTCACCTTTAGAAAGTTTTAAAAATTTTATTTAGATTAAAAATCTTAAAATATTAATATATTTATAAAAAAAACTCTAATTTTTCTAAAATTAGAAAAATGCTTAAATCCCTAAAAAAATCTAAAATCAACCCCAAATCCTTGTCCCTAACCGCAAATCCCAATCACGATCGATGCCGTTGACACCATCGATGCTACCGACGTCGTCTCCCTTTTCGGCTGACATCATCCTTGTCGTTGCTCGCGCCATCGGATCGCGTAAATATCACGATTATTTCTCCAAAATTTGCGTTGTCGATCGATTTAAAGCGTGCCATTGATGGTTGTTTGTCGTGTGGGTGGTCATCGGATGGAGACGCGATCGAGGGTAGGTTCAGTCGATGACAGCGACAATGGTAAAGGGCGGTAGCGACGTGGATATAGGGATTAGATTTAGGGTTTTCAAAGTTTGAGGTTTTTTTAAGATTTTCAAAAATTTTGGATTTTTAAAATATAATTTTAAGTTTTTTTAAAATTTTAAATAAAATTTTTAAAATTATTTGAAAGCGATATATCTTTTAACGATAGAATTTAACGGCCGATACAATCCAGGCACCTAAAATGGAAATGTTTGTAACATTAATATAATTAGATGAATCGAAAAAAAACTACACACCTATTTAAGAAAAACGATATTCGCTTAATTTTTTATTAAGCCTAAAAGTAATATATCAAACCTCCTTTAAATATATAATACTTTCAATAGTATATGTCGAATACATTCAATTATATATATATATATATATATATATAAGAAAATTTTGAATTTACTTTAATTTTTACAAATCAACAGACATCATTATCAATACGCCACTATTTTATATTTACTAATTGGTGGAGTCATTTGTTTATAATTGTAATTACCCTTGTATGTAAATTAGAGTTACTTTTGAGATTTATGTATACAATTATAGCTAATCCTTGTGTGCATAATTAGAGTGGTTTTGAGATTTATTTTGTGGTGAAATAAAATTTACCAACGGAACTAGAAAAATGAGAGGTATTTATTGTTGGGTATGTTATCTTACTAAAATGGTTAATAAGGCTTGGAAATTGCAGTTAAGATGAACCACTCAAACAAGTATTGATGATAAAGATCATTTATGTACATTCTCATGTCACTATTTAGATGACCATAAGTTGGTGAAAGCCCAACGCCGGATGTGTAGACAACGGCGATAACAGTGGCATGTTAAAAATTCCCTTCGTCTCATTGTCCAAATCCAAAACTGACGTCCAATTTGACGGTGTCAAAGGCTCATCGAAGTTATCTCTCGCGTCGTCATCGTTTTCCCTCTTCACGCTCTTGACTTGACTTTCTTCCCCGGCGCCGTCGTCGTCTCTGATCCGTTTTCTCACGGCGGTTACGTCCAACCTCCCGGCTTCGAGAGGGAAGTTAATTATCGCTTTGGAGCCGCGTAGCTTGAAAGCTGCTCGGTCGTAAGCCTTAGCGGCTTCTACGGCGGTGTCAAAGGTTCCCAACCAGACCCGTGCACCCTTCCGGGTAGGATCTCGGATCTCAGCTGCGAACTTCCCCCACGGCCTTTTTCGGACTCCTCTGTAATGCCTACTTTTCTCTTCGGAATTTGAATTCTCCGGCTCCGCCTTAGTTAAATCCGGTTTACCGAAATCAATCCACTCCACTTTATGCGGTAACGAGATTTTCAGGGACGGTTTTCGGTTCTGAGAATTGGAACCCGATTTCGAAGAAGCTGGAGGTTTTACAGCAGAAACTTGAGATATTGCATCGAAGTTAAAGGCATTGGCGTTGGAAGAGAATGGCTTAGGCGTCGTGAGATCGACAAATCGAGGTTTCGATTCAAATTGGAAACCTGGGAATTCGGGAGAGAAGTTAAAGAAATCATCATCGTCAAGGGAGCTAAAACCGGATCCCGTAATACAGGAACCAGAGCTGGAAGTTTGAGAGTAGAAAGACTGAGATTGAGAGGTGGAGACCTCAGATTTCGATTCATTTCTCAATTGGTTTTCAGTTGAAAAACTCCCCAATCCCACCGGAGAAGATTCATCCAGTAAATATTGTTCGATGTATTGAAGTGCACTGCTAGTTTCCATAACCAAAAACTGGAGATGAAAAAAAAATATAGAAGAGGTATTTTGGTTGGGGTGGAAGCGGGGGAGTGAAGGTGCATTTATAGGAGGATGGCAAGTTGAAATGGATGACTTTTCAATGGATGAAGATACAAGGAAGCAACGTGTGCCCGCAAAATGACAAATTACATTTATGTGGTCCGCTTCAGTCATGCCGAAAATGTATTTTATTCCTAAACTTAATCATTACTCTTGTCCCATTGAAACTCCAACTTCTTTTAATTGTCTTATTATAATTGTTTTCTTGATAGAATCTTATTATAATTATAAAAAATTATAAATTATATTTATTGATTAAAATAAGTAGACTGCGTGGGTCGATCGATAGCTGATGGTTTATTTTTTCTGTTTGGATGGAGAGTTACGATTGACGCAAGGATCACTGTTAAACAAAAACTTTTCGTCAGAGATAGAAAGTGAGTAATATGAATAGAATTCCTATACCCCTGTCCAATGCCCCGCCATTCAGATTAAAACACTTGTAATAAAAAATTAATTAACAAACTAATAGAGTTTTGTCGTTAACTTTTCGTTTGACTTTTTTTTTTATATTTTCTTTGTAAATCAAAGTTAACGCCACTAATTCTTTTTAAAAGAAATTTAATAATATTTTTATTAACTTTATATTCATTTTATTTAATTTATCTCTTTTAATTTTTTATTAAATTTGATTTTTTAATTTTTTATGATAATTCATGTTAGATTAAATTTTTTATTAAAATTAAATTCAATAAATTAAAATCTAAAAAAATAAACTAATTTTTTGGGCGATTTTACCAAAATATTACCCTAACAAGTAATAATTACCTATTAGGCACCATTTCTTTTAATTTTATCGATTTAACATCCTTTCTGACAAGACGCGGACTGTCCTAGTTGGCGTCACGTCATGAAAGGCGTGGATCGCCTTATCCAAGCTGACGCCACGTCAAGATAAGCGTAGATCTCCATCCGCGCCTTTCTGGGGTTTCTGACACCTGTTCGTAAGGCACAAATCATCATTCGTGCATTCTATTATTGGTACCACCCGAGCAGCTCGGCCTTTAAACCCTCCCCTCCCCTATCAATAACATCCCCTTTATGCAAACATCACCACATCAATTCCTTCTATTTTTGCTTCATCAACTCCTACTTTTATTGTAAGGAAAAATTATTTTATTTTATTATATTTATTTTATATATAATTATTTGAAAATTTTTTATTGTACTAATTATTTTGTATTATTTTTAAGGTTGTAAAATTGGAAAGTGTGATCATACCTCAAGACATTTTTGCCGATATGGTAACAACATAAAATTATATTATTTAAATTGTTGTGAAAATTTTTAATTTTTTTTGATTAGTTTATATTTTAATTCATATACTATTTATTTAATTATGCGTATTTTAACTATTATTTTTGCAGATATAAGACTCTCAATCTTTCAAATTCTTAGAATGACGCGTATTTCAGCTATTGTTTACTATGACAGAGAACTTTGGGAAGATGAAACTGGCGTCGTCTTCACATCAAATCATTCTGTCAGAATATCCTTCAATAGAAACATAACTTTTGATGAGCTTATAACGAAAATTTCAAGGAAGGTTCATATTGGAAGTACTAGAAGACTGTCCTCACTTCAGTACATATTTCCAACCGTAATATTTCCGTTAACTTATACAATGTTCGAACTATCTAACGATGACGTTGTTTCTATGATGGTTGATTCACAAAATCATTATTTAGATGTCGATACACAGATGTATGCGAAATTTGTTGAAGTGCGTGCGATTCTTGGTATGTCATTATGCTCCTACTATGGGCTGGCCCAACAAGCTGATCAAGTTGATAGCCCAACTCAAGTAATATGTAATGATTTTAACTCGTTAATGGGAAATCCACATAATGGTGCTATCCCATCAAGTTCAATGGGGAGACATTCATCAGCAACTTCTTACGATATGTACTGAGGTGGCTCCACAAACAATATGTATGGAAACATCGCGTCCAGTTCAAGAGGAAGATATTCATTTGCCAATTTCTTTGACTTGAATATAGAGATGCCCTCGATGTAGCAATATATACAATACCCATTTGACACGATGCCTTCAAGCTACAGGGGGAGGCATTCAACTGGGAGCTTCTTCGACCTCAATGTCGAAATGCCTTCAAGTTCAAGGGGAATGCATGCAACAACCAGCTTGTTCGACCTAAATGTCGACATCGTAGAGGAACCCTTATTTCCACCAGAAGAACTTCTTCGTGAGCTAGGTACAGATAGTTCTGAGACTGAATTATTCATTCAGCTAGAATAACCACAGTTCAACATGAACTCCGATAATGATGATGTAGATGAAGTTCCTATATATACAATACACACCATACTTCCAACACACATGAATGAAGCTGATTATGGTGCAATGTACGGGCCAAATTTTACGGATATGCTTAATGTTGGTGACTACATATATAACTCATTATTTAATGACGGTGAGTTATATAAAGGAATGAAGTTTCTATGCAAAGAAGAAGCGATGATGGCAATTAAGAAATACAACATTCATAATTATGTTTAGTCTAGAGTCGACCGTTCTAACTTCTACTACCGAAAAGTATGCCTTCCACTTTGTTCAACGTGATAACGGATGCAATTGGATGGTTCACGTATCGAAGAGAAAGAGGAAAAATAATATATGAGAAGTAACAATATACAATGGTCCTCACACATGCTGTGTTGGAGGGATCAACCAGGATCATCCCAACTTGGACTCCGACATTATCTGCCAAGCCATCATTCCCATGGTAAAAGCAAACTCCCATATAACTATTGCGGTGCTGATTTTAGCTATACAATCGCAGTATGGGTATACCGTCTCATACAATAAAGCATGGATGGCAAATTAGAATGCCATTAAAAACTTTATAGAGAATGGGAGACATCTTACAACGAACTTCCAAGTTGGTTTATAGTAGTGCACAGATTGAATCCTGGGACAATTATCGACTTCGAAACTTGCCATGCATACAACAATGATCGAGTGCTTCACGGTCGATGCCAATTCTACCAGCTTTTTTGGACTTACCAACAGTACATTAATGATGTGAAATACTACAAGCCCGTGGTCCAAATTGACGGGATATTCTTGTATGGAAAATACAAGCAAGTTTTACTATTGAAAGTTGTCCAAGATAATAATCGCAACATTTTTCTAGTTACTTTTTCCATTGTTGAAGGAGAAGATACATATTCTTAGGCTTTTTTCCTCAGAAACTTAGGCTTACATGTTATCACGAGGGAAAAAATCTGTCATTTCAGATCACAGAGCTGGGATCAAAGCAGTAATGGATTCTTTGGGTCCAATGTGGCAAATACCCTATGTCCAACATCGGTATTGTATCCGTCACATTGCTGCTAACTATTATGGAAGGTTCAAAAAGAATGATGAGCACCAATTACTTGTGCATATAGGTATGCCAAAATGCTATTTTTATTTCTCAATCATTTTTCATTTTTTATGGAAACAAAGTTAGTAAGTTTTACATTTAATGCTCAAGTTACGAATATGAAACATTTGAGTTCATGCTTCAAGAGTTGCAAAGAAAGAACGAGGAAGGATACGATTACATCAGCCTCATAAAAAATGAAATTTGGACAAATGCATATGATGGTGGATATCGATATGAACATATAACGACCAACTTGGTGGCTGAGACATCAATTCAACCTTAAAGGGGGCACACCATTTACCAGCAACGACTTTGGTTAAAACGAAATATTTTCATTTGGGAGCACTTTTTGCTAAGCTCGGGGGACAAGCTCAAACTTGGATGCAAAATGGTCATGTCTATCACCCAAGATTAGTTACAGATCTACAAAAAAGAATTTTTGCATAAAATGGAATGTCTGTAACAAGCTTCTCTAGAACCCATGAATTATTTCGTGTCACAGAGATGTTGTGACCTCTTCAAGGGATTCAAGCTAACTCGTTCAGAGTTAATCTATGAGACAAATAGTGCAACTGTGGGTTTGTTCAAGCTTTGAAGTATCTATGCTCTAATGTCATAGCAGCTTGCTCGTATACCCGTCAAGACTATTAACGTTTTTAGATCACATATATAACTTTAAGAAGTGTTTAAGATATATGAATTTAAGCTCCCCCATAGGTAATGAGAAAGACCCTGATGAGGTTCAGAATTAGCTTCTGATTGTACCAGATCTGTCCTTATTGAGGGAGCCAGGTCGTCCAAAATCCACTCAAATTCGTTGTGATATGGATATTCGGGAGACGTCCAGAGAAAACAAAAGATATGGACATTGTAGAAACCTAGGACACAATAGGAAAAAATATCCATCTCTTTTGTCATCAAGTAGCTGTTGATGTTGTGCTTGATGTAATTGTTGTTTATGAAATCTAAGTTTATGTTATTTAATTTTCATTTACTTTCAGTTAATGTCATTTGAGCATCACCGATTAATTGGCAACTAAAGAAATTAAATAAAAAAACAATTTGAACAAACTAAAAACAAGAAAACGATACAACAAAAAAATTAAAAAGAACTAAATAATAAAAACAATTTGAACAATTAAGTAATAAAAAATTAAGAAACAAAATATATAAGAAATCCATAATTAAATAAAAAATTTATAATTGATGGTATACAAAAAAAAATGAAGTAAACAACTCTATCGATGTCGACGTCTTGAATGTGTTCCGCAGGGCGGTGACTGTCTATGTCGAGGAGGATTCTTCGTATAACTTGTTCTGACTCCTCACTCTTATTATTATCATCTTCATCATCATCATCAGGAGCAAATACATTTTGTTGATGAGAGACGAATGACGAAGTATCACCTCCATAGAACAAAGACCCTAGAGGTGTATGACTGACTATCCTACATCTCACAGAAAACTGTGAAAAGACCGACATCGATAAGTGCAAAAACTGTACAAGAGGTGTCTGTGCATATGGTGAAGCTTCACCCGTCAAATAACCAACATATAAACCCCAAGTTGG